TACCTACTATCCTTCCTCCTTCTTACTCTTTCTTCTCTCTCTCCTCTCTCTCTCTCTCTCTTTCTATAAGGGATTTATTTTAGAGGATAAAGAAAAATATTTTAGCAAAAGATTAATTTCTCCTTTTTATGAATACAATAAAAAATATTATGACAGGTTGAGAATTTATCTTATCGAAAGGATCTTATTTTAGCAATTGGAAAATTTAACTCGGAATATTCGAGATAAATTTACATTATTATACTTTATGGACTTAAAATCCTTAATTCAATTATAGTGATATTTAGATATCTATCCTTTAAGTTCTTTTTCTTTAATTTCTAAAACTTACATTTGTTTTCATGTTTTACTTCTCTTATCTATCCCTCATAAGTTAATCATTCAGAAGACAAAAAATCAAACCACCGTATTGTACAATTGTGTGAAATTTTGAACTCTAAATGATACTTGATACTTTAGAGAATCTGATCGATACTTATCATATATGAAAACTATTTTCCTGTACGCAGAACGATGGATAAGATAACCAATAAGATGATGCTATTAAGATTGTACTATTTAGTTAAGCTTATCATTCGAAGGATCATTTGCGCTTATTTAGGATCATACGAAAAATTAGCTAGGAATTCTCGGGAATGGTATGGTTAATGCGGAAATTTCCCTCATATGCTTGAAAAGGAAGAAGTGGAAAAGTTGAAACATGCAATCGGATAGATCAAAGCGGTGCTGCTTACATGCATACTATCTTTCATTCTATTTTGCTTTTGTAATTTTTGTAATAAAATTTTTGTGTGAGAAAAGATCATTCAATATTTGTTTGCATGTCTGCCTATCCGTTTCATTCCATGTTGGTTCCAAATATTTACGTATTTATCTGTCTGTCTTTTACGTCAATTTACGTATCCTTTGCATTCCTATCTCTTGTAAACCAAATTATTCAATAAAACTTCTTTTGCTATTCTTCGATGTTTGCCGAAAGAGGAAATTCACAGCACGATGTGACAAAGATTTGTCTCCTATAACTGATGGATAGACCATCGAAAATTATGAATTATGGGAATTCTTATATGCCAAGTGAATGTTTAGTTATATACAAATGTTCTAATGAGGGTAAAATCATACATATCTTACAGAAATTTTCTAATATATCTCTCTCTCCTCATTTTTCCGCTCTCTTTCTCTTCACTATATCTCAGGAAAGTTTTTTTTTCTTCTCTCTCTCTCTCTCTTTGTGAATATCCTGTCCTGAAATTTCATAAGATTTGATGAATTATCCATCAAATTAATCTCCTACGACTCTTTTCCAGAAGATTGACCATAATATTGCATAATAATGGAATTAGTATAATTCAACTAATATGCTGGATAATGAATTGCAATGAAAATCTTTTCTTTTATTTCCAATATCTCAATCGTATTTTTGGTTCAAATGATAACAGTAAACAACAAAAATAATACCATAATGATAATTTCTGAAAGATAAAAAAGAAATGAAACATCCCGCTGATAAGGTTACTTATTCTACTGTCATTTCTCTCTCATTGATAATTCATCGTAGGCTCCTTTCCTTTAAAGCAAATATTGTTTTTTTTTCCCCCTTTAGTGAAAATTAATTCCAACCAAATAACCGAAATTAATTTTTTTTTTTTTAGTTGTATTCATTTTAGAAAAGATTTCTTTTTCACTATTCCATCCTTTTCCGCCGCGGTTATATTATCGTATTGGTGTAGTAAAAGCATCAGTTTTTTTTTTTCTATGAGGAATGACCTCAGAAATGTTTTGAAGTGTTTTTTTTCCTTTTCATCTTAATCGATTAAACGATGAAATAATTGTTTGGTTCGTTTGGTTGTTATCAAATCAATGTCGGCTCCGTGTGATCGTTTGTTTTTTAAAACTATTCGAGAAATCTAACAATTTTTGCATAATTTTTTTTTTTTGTATTTTGTCCTCCAATCATTTCTTCTCTTCTTCTCCTTTTTTTTTTCTTTTATTTCCTGTAAAACACATTGAAAATGGTTTGCTTTAAATTTAATTTTAAAACTTTCAATAATAGCAAATATTCCTTTTTTATAAACACAATTTTTCCTATTTTACTAACATATCTTCTTTTAGATAATCCTGAAAATTTTATGGAAAATATCTTTAAACATTACAAACTTTTCTTACTAATTAATTATGGAGCATTAATTGAGTAAAATTATGACAATACTGTAGACATTTCCACATGTTCCTCTGAAAGGAATTGGTTATTTTATTCATCAGACATTTCATTTATTCTGGAAATGAAAAAACTAATTAGTCAGTTAAGCTAAATTATTTAATTCTAAAATCAGTCTTAAAATTACAAATAATATCTTAAATTAAAGACAGGAATAGTCCCTGACAATGGAAACATTACCATGAATAGTCGATTTGGTTAAGTGCTCATTGAGGTAAACTAAGAATAGTTGGCGGTTGTCATCGGGCAATTAGGTTTGGCCTTGAGGTATTCTCCATTTCTTGCTACTTTTACTCTATAAACTGCTTGAAAATCCGAGTGTCATCGGTAACAATCTTCTTCCGTCATTATCATCATCGCCACCAAGCCTATTATCCGATAGTTTGGGTCATTGCAGTGCACCGATAAATGATCTTCAATTTCAAACTGTGTAAATTCTTCAAAGCACTGTAAAATGAATGGCTGTCGCTGTTGTCGGCTGTCACTATTATCATTATTATTATCGTCATCGATCATCATAGATATTGTAACGATAGTCATCTTGCTTAACAGTAAAGATTTTATCAGTATCTATAGCAAATTTCAAAGCAAACTTAGAGTTAAGTGCAATAGCTAATTAGCCATGCAACAGGATTTATGATGAAACTGACATTTCAAAATCATGAAATATAATGTGTAATTAGCATAAGACGAAGGAGGGATAGTATTCCATTAATGCCACGTAGTTTCCATATGAGCTATAACCGGAAATTTTTTTTAATCCGGTTGAAGTTGACTGATATTCAAAATGAAGAGTAATTTTATTTATAATTACTACTAAAAGGATAACATTTTAATGAATCTTAGCAATCTTATCATTCTCTTTTGTTTTTTCTTTGTTTTTAATTTTACAAAAGCTTTAATTCTATCGTTTTATCCTATTTGTTACATGTAAACATAAACATTTCCTTTTTATCTGGCTAAAATGCTAAACTTCCATCTCTAATCTTATCACTCTTTCGCATTTAACCGTTGTCTGGAATGTCCTCTAAATGTTATTGCATACATAAGTGATGAGAATGTCACCATGAAAGCATGATCATCCTTTAATGTATGTTATAACATCATGATAACATCGATTACGGAGAGCGAAAATTGAAATTTAACAAATTTCAATAGATTCATTCCTTGGTTTTAAAATTTTTAGGCGTAATAGTGGCAGGATATGACGAATTAGTGATTGATAAATCGGCGCAATGGGAAAGTGTGTGTGCATGTATGTGTGTGTGTGTGTGTGTGTGTGTGTGTGTATGTGTGTGTATGTATGTGTATGTATGTGTGTGTATGTGTGTGTACAACACTAAAGATAAATCAAATTATAGCCAAGGAAGAAAAACTAATTTATAAATTATTCGTAAAATGACTGAATTATAAGCTTGTCTTCCGCCTTTACAATATGCTTTAGCTCTTCATCAAAAGCTAAGCTTTAGATTGGAAACAGACAAAAATTTAAATTTGTTTACTCTAATGATCATCGAAAAGATTTCGAAATATTCGAATAAGTTGTAAAATTTCTTAATACAAAGTTAATTTGGAGAAAGGAAAAAATTCTATCGTAAAGTTACTTATTGGCGCTTTGTGAAAAAATCTTGTTTGAATTTCGAAATCATTTTTGAAATTCTCTTGAAATTATAAAACAATCGCATCGAAATAATTTCTTCAGTACTGAAGAAATGAATGGGATTCATTCATTAACAAACTTACGTGAGTCACACGTTTACGTGAATGGTTAAAATAATAATGAACAACTTTTAGTCTTCTTAACATGCATTCTTTATTATATTACATTGAACTCATATTATTCTGATTTAAAAAAATTTTTTTTTTGATTTTCGAAAATAAAATTATATTCTTCAAATGTCTGAAATTAAAACATGAAGAAGTATGAGTTAAGTTTAAAAATTGTAAAATTCTTCGAATTTATTCAACTCAATTCTTCCATTTGATATAACATTAATATTCAGTTGAAAAATTTTGCATTGTAATTCAGTTCAAAAAAAAAAGACATGAAACCAAAAATGTGATTGAAAATTATTGAAAAATTAGGCTTTTGGAAATTTTAAAAAATTTTTTGGAGAATTAAGTTAGCAAGTAAATACAGTTTGTATCAAAAAATCTTTATACTTTAATATAAATTTGATTTAAAACTTTTTTTTTTGAAATAATGTGAAATAAAATAAAATTGAAGTGAACTATTAGCCAAGTTTTTGAATAATGTTAATGTTCATCATACCAGAAAGACAGATGATTAGTTTGCACTCCAAAAATGCGTAATTTATTCATCAGTCAATGCAAAAGTATTGCATTTGAAGTGGATTAGAGGAGTTGGATGACCTCCTTGAACCACAGATCATCCAACAATCATCCTTCATTCCTCTCAATGTTTCCCACTTTTCAAAATGATTGATTACTTCTGCAACTGAATAACGAGTACCGTAATTTTTCCTTAAAATATCTTTAACTTTTGGGAAATAGTGAAAGAGGAAAAATGTCATTATTAAATGTATGTGTTTCCATCTGTATTTTACCAATATCTTATCATCACATCAGGTGATTCGTTGATGATCCGTTGCATTGTATAGTTTAACTTTTATTGATGTTCTACCATATCCTAACCGATCGCAGTTAAAAAAAAAATTAGTTAAATTTTTAAATTATTTCAAACATTCAACAATTCTGAAATTGTTTCACCGGCCATCAAAGTTGACACGAAACAGTAGCTGTCGTCAAATTCAAATAATTTGGAAATTTTATCGATATTTTTGATACCGAAAATGTATAATTAAAAAAAAAATAGATACGATTCTTCTAGCATTTCAAGCCTAAAATTAGTAATTCGTAGAGAAGAAAAAAGAATTCACATAATATATTTGATTGCCGAAAATTGTGTAGCATTCAACAGGACTACTGATAATGATGTAAGCAACAACATCCGGTTAAATGATGCAGTTCAGGTGCTCATTTGCATAACATACTGTACAGACAATGGATGATGCTAACAACATATTCCTTTCAAGCTTCATAGCTTTCTTGTCAACTCATTCAATCATTTCGTATGCTTTTTTAGATAATACGACAATTTTTATGACATTTTAAAAGAACTAAATGTAAATGTCTGTAAATCAAATAAAGAAGATATATGTTATTGGTCAGATTTTGACGTGGAAATACAAATTAAAAATGTGAAATTATATCTGAAACATAATTTAATTCCTTCTTCAAGTATATATCCATAAATTGAATTGGAATAAATCGATTAATTGGCCATCCACAATTCATTCCCTATTTCAGTATATACTTTGATTTATGCCATGAATTTCAGACCAGAAATTATCCTATCCCTATTGACTTAAACTGAGGTAATTTGTAAACTTGGCGGGACGTTAGAAATTCCGGAAAAATATAATCACCATGAGATAGACGGATTTCTTTGATGCAAAATGGAAAGAGGAAGGAAGCGTTGGTGACGGAAACGGAAGATGCAACTAGCACCTCATTAGCTAGTGGTTACAAAGGAATAAGAATACCGAAAAAGACCGCGATAAAGGAGAGAAAAGAATGGACAATAGTAACTGGTATCGTACGCTTACATTTTGAAGAGTTAGATCAACTATCATTGGCGCTAATTTACATTAATTTGTTATTCTGAACCAGATATTATAACAAACACACTAATTAGTATAAGCCATATTAAAACCGGCTCAGAACCGGCTTAAGGAGAGGAATCAAACATTTAGGATCCAGCAATGATAAACGGGTTTTTTAATCTTAATTTTGACTGAAAAAAAAATGGATTTTTGTGCTGTATGAGAAATACGAAAGCAAAAAAGCAAAGTAATTTAAATTTTAAAAATTTTTGAAATTTTCTGATATTTCATCTTTTTCAATTTTAAATATGAAAAGATAAATTCATTAATACCATTAATGGTTATTTATTTTAGCTGATCATTCATTGTTGATCAAAAAGCAGTAGATTTTTGATATGCTACCTGAATGATGTTGTCATCATTCAACTGTCACGAAAATTAAGGTCATTTCAAACTTGCTCAATTGCTAAATATAATTACGAACTATGACCTCTTTCCTTTCGTTTCTTTTTCTCTCTCTCCCTCTCCCTCTCTTTCTCTTAAAATTAACTTCCAATTGATGAACTTTGTAATTTCACGATAAAGAAGAATTTTTGTTTTGAAAAATAAATACAAATTGAAGTGAATATATATGTTATGAGATGAATATGGATGATGAAACCAATTCTCCACCATAGCAACGGCCCTATTTTTAGCTTCTAATATCAGGTAAATCGTTTATATATTATCATAGAAAGATTAATTATTGTCAGATAAAGAGAGAGAGAGAGAGAAATAGAGGGAGAGAGAGAGAGATGTGAGAAATTGAGTTCGTATAAAAGAGCACAATGTGAAAGTTAATGAATTTGAGTAAATGCTAGATTAAAGAACTTGGATAATTGGGATGTTACTTTAAATTAATTATTAAAAAAGTACATGACAAATTATTACTGTAAAATATACTGTTAGTGGTTGATAGATATAAATGTTGAAATAAAATATTTTTTTCAAAAAAATAATTTTTCATTTCTCATTTCTTTTTTTCTTTTGTAAAAAAAAACGAAAAATATATTCGTTAATTGTTGTAAATTTAAAAATATTTAAATTAAATATATTAATTTCAATTCTTTTATATTATTCCCTATTTTCTCTATTCTTATCTTACAACAGAAATGAAAGAAGAAAAGAGCAGTATTTCAAATGGATCTATCCATCGAACCGTATTTCCACCTTTCAAACTCTTCCTGTTATGATTATTATTTATTGCTCCATTAAATTTATGCTTTTAATAGAATTCAATGATGCTTAAAATGTCTTAAACTGAATAGATTACTATATCATCCATTGTTTACATTCTCTCTCATTTCTTAAACATTATACATTATCCAATGAAAAATGATGTCAATCAAATGATTATGGTGGAAATGATTTCTCAGAAACAAAACTGTATTATTCATTTTTCTAAAATTCAAACATTATTTGATGAAACTTTTCGTCCGAATACTGTACGGATACTATTCATATCCGATATATACTAAATTTTCTTCTCATCAAAATTTCACCCAAATTTGTGTGTGTGTTTTTTTTTTTTTATTTAGAATGAATTTGATTTTAGGATGATTGAGTTGTGACAAACAATAAATAAGTCATTTTAAAGTCGCTATTTTGTCGCATACTACTCTAACAATACTTGCTAATGTAATTAAGAGATCGGGATGAAAATGAGGAACAGATGGGTCTTTGTGGATATGAAGAGCTTCTGTGACATATATTTGTCGGCTTGACAACTACAACTATGCATAGTTTCTCGTCTACTTCAATCAGTTGCAGATTATCGACTACACATCTTTATAATATACTTACATTCATTCACTCACAAATATTAATAAATCCATTACATCCTAAAAATATAGTAGTAGAGAAGGGATATTTCCA